GAGATAAAGCATTTAATAGCTGCAGTTTTGGATTATGCAAATTACGCCTTGAAGCTGTAAGGACCTGAATGGGCAGAAACTGGCTGGGACTCAACCCTAACAAGACAGAGTGGCTTTGGGTTTTTTACCTGCCTCCAGTGAGTTGTCATTATTGATTCTGGATGGGATAGCGGTCCCCCAAGCAGAGGTGGTGTGCAATTCAGGGATCTTCTTGGTCTTGTGAGTCCTTCTGAAGGCGCATGTGGCAGCTATAGTCAGGGGGGCCTTTGCAAAAAATTAATATTGTGTGCCAGTTGTGCCCATTCCTGGCCCGAGAGGCTTTGCTCACAGTCACTCCTTTCACAATCATTCCTTAGTCACTTCCTGACTGGATTACTGCAACACACTCTACATGGGGCTACTCTTGAAGACCACATGGAAGCTACAACTGGTCCAGAATGCAGTGGTGCTGTTGCACAAGCTGTACTGGATCCCAGTTTCTTTCTGGGTGCAATTCAAGATGCTGGTTATCACCTTTAAAGCCCTAAACGGTAAGGGGCAGGTTACGTGTGATTCTGCCTCTCCTGCCCATCCCACCAGGTCAGATAGTGTGGGCGTTCTCCAGGTCCCTTCCTTTAAACATTGTCATCTGTTAGGACCTCAGAAGTGGTCCCTTTTCTGTAGCTGCCCCAGCCATTCAGACAGCTTCCCCCCGATAGCTGGAGCGCCCCATACCTCTTAACCTTTTGGAAGCTTGGGAAGACCTGGGCCTTCACCCAAGCATTGGGCTAGGATAAGAATGAGCCAGTGTATGTAGAGTGACGGATGTTATGGCCCCATGGTGGAAAGTGTGATGCTAGTTTGTACGGGTGATATGATTGTTTTATTGTTTTGTTGTAAGCTGTCTAGGATTATTGCATATAAGGTAGGTAGGTAGGTAGATATAATTTTTATCCTAGAAGGAAGACAGCAATAAGGAACTTGAAAAGGGTCCTCACATTTTGATTTAGAAACTGTTCAAAATACAGTCACCAGAGTACAGCAACTATCAGTTTAAAAGTATATATATATATATAAAAAGATATAATCACACAAGCCCCTTTTTAGGAACAATACACTGCACAAATTTCATTCTGTTCTTTAAATAAGTATTAAAGGAGTAATAAACATGCAAATATTTTACACAAGGGTGATTATTTTAGCAATAGTCTAAGTCATACGGTCTACATTTAGACATATTGTAATAGAAAACATTGATTTCCCCTTTTGAGAATGAGCAGAGTTTCTCTCCAGGCTCATATGATTCCTCCTCCAGTGGGGCACTGACACACTACTTTTGCCTTTTGATTTAATTGTAGTTTAGGCTGTTGTTTGAAATGTAAATTATAATTAATTTTAACTATGGTTTATTGAAGTTATTAATACAATAATTATATGGGGTGAACTTTATTCAATCATTAAAATGGATGAATTATGCCTAATTGAAAATGAACGCAGTAGCTTCTAAGTTTCCCCTTTTAGCTAATTGACCATCAATTGCTGTTTTTCTTGGCTGTGAATTCAACTTCTTTGAAGAATGAAGATTCTCCAATAGTAATAAAATGAGCCCATAATGAATGACCTTTAAATGTCTTGTCTTAACACTGCCCATAAACCTACAATCTGCACACATTTATTCTGGATCATTGTCAGTAGTACTGAACTGCCATTATAGAATTACTTTGCCTGTGACATTTTAGTAATGGATTAGGAATTAACTGCCCTGAATATGTGTACAGTTTTCATTGAGAACAAATGGCTTTATTCAGTTGCATGTATCTGGATGACTAATACTTAAAGATGATAGTATGTCCATGCATTATCTGTGCCAAACTAGCTTCTCATAAATGATGTCTGATGGTTTGGTTAAAACTGTCTGAAATCTGGGAAAAACTTTTTACCCCTCTTAACCCTCCCACAGCCCTCCATTAGCAGTCTAATGGAACATAGTAGTTAGAGACCTCTTGAAATTGTAATAATACTGGATATACAGAAGTAGTATCCCCAATATGAAACATTTAGCTTTTGTTCCTATAATTAATTTGAAAATATTTATAAACACTATTATGGACATAAAAGTAAATAAGAATACATATTTTTGCTACTTTCTAACAGGGCCATTGCACTGTGTTAAAAAACAGTTTTGAAAACTGCTTAACATAATTCACTTATAAAAACAACATGGCCTCTAGGTGTGTTTTAATTGTCTTCTAAATTTCATATAGCATGTAAATGTATGGTTGCTATATTAGAAGAATATAAAGATGAGAGTAACCTGCAGGGAAGGATTTCCCATGGCAGCCACAGGTCCTGTTGTACAACTCAGATGGCTCCAGTTGTAATTACTAAGGTGAAGATCTTTGACAGCTGCAGTGCAATTTATTGGAGAGACTTATTGGAGAGACTTACTGAGTTGGAGGACCACACCACTTCACCCCATTGAGAAATCAGGGAGATGAGGGACCCAGGAACAACTGAAGAGAGGCTGGAAATGAAAGGATGAGGAAGAAGATCACTCTTGGTTTTATCAGACCAGAGAATCCTGTTCCTCACAGTCTGAGAGTCCTTCAGGTGCTTTTCTGC